AAGGGCCCAAAGTCCATCAAATGGGGAAAAGACAGTTTTTTTTAACAAATGGTGCTGGCAAAATTGGATGTCCATCTGCAAAAAAATTAAACAGGACCCATATCTCACACCATACACAAAAACTAATTCAAAATGGATTAAAGACCTAAATATAAAACCAAAAACTATTAAGATCATAGAATTAAAAATAGTATTAACGCTAGAGGTCCTAATACACGGCATTAACAGGATACAAACCATAACCGACAACACACAAACTGTAGGAGATAAGCTAGATAACTGGGATCTTCTAAAAATTAAACACTTATGCTCATCAGAAGACTTCACCAAAAGAGTAAAAAGAGAACCTACAGACTGGGAAAAAAAATTTGGACATTACAAGTCAGACAAAGGTCTAATTTCTAAAATGTACAAGAAAATCCAACACCTCTACAACAAAAAGACAAATAATTCAATTAAAAAATGGGCAAAAGAAAGAATATACCTGAAAAAAATAAAATAAAATAAATAAAATCTGTAGACTTTTAAAAAAAAAAAAATGGGCAAAGGAAACAGACACTTCACCAAAGAAGACATTCAAGCGGCTAACAGACACAGGAGGAAATACTTGCGATCACTAGTCATTAGAGAACTGCAACTCAAAACCACAATAGGATACCATCTCACCCCGGCATTACTGACACGAATCAAAAAAACAGAAAATAACAAACGTTGGAGAGGCTGCAAGGAGACTGGAACTCTTATGTACAGCTGGTGGGAATGCAAAATGGCACAACCATTTAGGAAAACAATATGGCACTTCCTTAGAAAGCAAGAAATAGAAATTCCATATGATCCAGCAATCCTACTCCTAGGAATATATCCTGGAGAAATAAGAGTCGTCACACGAATAGACACAATAGCAAAAAGAGGGAAACAACCTAGAAACCCATCAACAGATGAATGGATAAACAAACTATGGTATATACACACAATGGAGTACTACGCAAAGATAAAGAACAATGATGAATCTGCAAAGCATCTCACATCATGGATGAATCTGGATGGCATTATGCTGAGTGAAATAAGTCAATCACAAAAGGGCAAATATTGTATGACACCACTCCTACAAAAACTCATGAAAAGGTTTACACACAGAAAGAAATATTCTTTGTTGGTTATAAGGGATGGGGGTTAGGTGGGAAATATTAAATAGACAATAGATAAGTGGTAACTTTGGTGAAGGGTAAGACAGTACACAATACTGGGGAAGCCAGCACAACTTGCCCAAGGCAAGGTCATGGAAGCTCCATAGACACATCCAAACTCCCTGAGGGACTGAATTACTGAGCTGATGGCTGTGGGGACTATGGTCTTGGGGAACATCTAGCTCAACTGGCATAACATAGTTTATAAAGAAAATGTTCTACATTCTACTTTAGTGAGTAGCGCCTGAGGTCTTAAAATCTTGTGAGCGGCCATCAAAGATACTCCACTGGTCTCACCCCGTCAGGAGCAAGGGAGAATGAAGAAAACCAAAAGACACAAGGGAAGAAAAACAAAGACCACAACTACCACAGCTTCCATCAGACTGAGTTCAGCACAACTAGATGGTGCCCGGCTACCACCACTGACTGCTCTGACAGGGATCACAATAGAGGGTCTCGGACAGAGCTTGAGAAAAATGTAGAACAAAATTCTAACTCACAAAAAAAGATCAGACTTACTGGCCTGACAGAGACTGGAGAAACCCCAAGAGTATGGCCCTCAGACATTCTTTTAGTCCACGTAATGAAGTCACTCCTGTGGTTCACACTTCATCCAAAGATTGGACAGGCCCATAACACAAAACGAGACTAAAGGGGCACATCAGCCAAGGGGCAAGGACTAGAAGGCAGGAGCGGACAGTAAAGATGGTAATAGGGAATCCAAGGTCGAGAAGGGGAGAGTGTTGACATGTCATGGAGTTGGTAACCAATGTCACAAAACAATATGTGAATCTAGTTTGCTCTGTAAGCCTTCAGCTAAAGTACAATTTAAAAAAAAAAAGAATTGTGGTTTATCATCAAGGGGAAACTGGGATTTCCAGTGTCCCTGAACTGCCGCCTCCGACCAGCTCACCAGTGGCTCTTCTTGGACTGCCCACATCTCCTTGGGCATGCCGTGGTCATCATGGACTGGAAGGGTCTAAGGGATCATCCATATTGGCAGGAGCAAATCTCCAAGACCAGTCCAGGCCCAAAGGAGGGGATTCACAGCCCTCCACTCTCAGAGAGGTGCTGACAATTGTATCAACACCCATTAAAGGAGAAATATCTCCCCTAAAGTTATTTAAAAGACATACGTGGTCATTATCCCTGGGGGGAAAAATAAATTATTTTTACAGGCAAAGAGCTGTCTCTCTCTGAAATTTTATTACATGGGAAGATGAGAGGCTTTCTTAGATGAAATGGGACTGACTCTGTGTAAGTAACCAGTTACTAGTCGTTGTTGTTTCCGACTCATGGCGACCCCATGTGTGTCAGAGTAGGATTGCGCTCCATAGGGTTTCCTTTTCTTCTTCTTTTTTTTTAATGTCTTAAAAAGTTTTTATTTTGCTTTCTGTTTTTAAAATTTTATTTATTTTGTTGTTATTGCAGAGAATATACACAGCAAAACATACGTCAATTCAATAGTTTCTACATGTGCCGTTTAGTGACAGTGATTACAGTCTTTGAGTTGTGCAATCATCTTCACCCTCCTTTTCTGAGTTGGTCCTCCCCCATTAACATTAATTCACTGCCCCCTAAGGTTTCTATCTAGTCTTTCGAGTTGCTATTGTCAACTTGATCCCATATAGATAGTTTTTAAAGACCTTAATGCTCAAGGAAAACATTTTTTACTAGTTAAGCTATTGTTTGGTTTTAAGAAGACTTCAGGGGATATTTTTGGTTTAAGGTTGTCTTAGTTATTGAGTGCTGCTATAACAGAAATACCACAGTGGATGGCTTTAACGGCAGAAATTCATTCTCTCACAACTCAGGAAGCTAAGAGTCTGAATCAGGGTGCCAGCTCTAGCAGAAAGCTTTCTCTGTCTGCTGTAGGGGAAGGTCCTCATCAACCTTCTCCTGGCTCTAGGAGGTTCTCAGCGCAGGGACCCTGAGTCCAAAGGATGTACTCCACTCTTCTTTTCTTGGTAGTAGTAGCTCCCGTTCTTTCTGCTCATTTCTCTCTCTTTTTATCTCTTGTAAGATAAAAGGTGATGCAGGCTACACCCCAGGGAAGCTCCCCTTACATTGGATCAGGGCTGTGACCTGAGTAAGGGTGTTGCATCCAACCCTAATCCTCCTTAACATAACCTAATCTTGCCTCATTAACCACAGGCAGAGATTAGGATTTACAACACATAGGACAATTACATCAGATCAGAAAATGGAGGGTAACCACACAATACTGGGAATCATGGCCTAGCCAAGTTGATACATATTTTGAGGGGACACAATTCAATCCACGACAAAGGTTTAAAGACTATCTCAGGGGAACAGTTTCAGGGGTTCATCCAAACTTCATGGCTCCAGGAAGTCTGAAGTCCATGAGAATTTGAAATTCTGTTCTGCATTTTCCCTCTTTTGATCAAGATTCTTCTACAGAATCTTTGATCAAAATGGTCTGTAACTCCATAGGGTTTTTGAAGGCTGATTTTTTAAAGTAGATTGCCAGGCCTTTCTTCCTAGTCTTTTTTAAATCTGAACGATTTACTGAAACTTGTTCAGCATCATAGCAACACACAAGCCTCCACTGACAGATGGGTGGTGGCTGGGCATGAGGTACATTGGCTGTGAATCAGACCCAGGTCTCCTGCATGGGAGTGGGAATTCTACCATTGAACCACCAATTCTTCACGATGTGAATTTAGAAAGGCCCAAAGCTGACGACCTGTCTCTCCTCAGTTTGGAAATATTGCCACTGTCTCCTGGTTTTTCTCTCCTTTTACTTGGCTGACTCTCAGAACCAAAGTAAAATCCACATATGCCTCATCCAATTCTCACTCTTAATCACGCTGCTGCTACAACATGTAATAATATTTTGTATGATTATATTGCTGTACAAATTCCTTTAATGCACATTAATTCACTTGACCCTTAAAATAACCCAGTGAAGTTGGCAAGGCCTTTTATAGAAAAATGAGGTGCAGAGAATTTGAGACCCTTTCTTAAAAACACCCAGAGAATAACTATTACAGGAGAGACTATGTTATTTCAACCTAGCCTTTCCCCATAAAGGGATTGAAGCTGATAATAGAGAATGCATATTATAAAATAGTGCAATGAACAGAAGGAGCAGGAGAAAATAGAAAACAGAATTGGATGTGTGGGCTGGGAGGAAAAAAAATCTCAGCAAAGATGCACTTCTTAAGTCCTGCACAGTTGCTATCATTCAAAACACCCTGGCAATCTAAGCAAAGAGGGAAACAAGATTAGTTGCATAGTTCCAGCTGTAAATGGTGAGCCAAGGCCAAAGTTCAGTATTATAGCCAAAATTACCCTTGAAAAGACTTGAGCTAGTTTTCTCATTGCAAGGAGTGTCCTATTCAAATCGGCTCTGCTCAGGGGTCACCTGGGTCCACCAGTTAATGGCTCACTCTGGAAATAGGGAATTCTGTCACCAGTCAGGGAGCCCTGGTGGCACAGTGGTTAAGTGCTCAGTTATTAACCAAAAGGTCGGCAGTTCAAATCCACCAGACACTCCCTGGAAACCCTATAGGGCAATTCTACTCTGTCCTATAGGGTCGCTATGAATTGGAATTGACTCAACGGCAATGGCTTTGGCTTTTTGTTTTTGGTCACCAGTCAGGGCAGGGAAGGTTCTAAGAATCATCTCAAGGCTCAAGATCAAGATTTCCCTTTCTGAATCTCAAGAAACTAAGGGGCAATGAAAATGGAGTGACCAAATGGAGTGACCGGTGCTTTTTCCTCAAACTGCCAGAGAATCAGTCCCAAAGTTATCAAGAAGAGTCAAGAAACACAGATAGGTTCCCTTACAGTGTCTGCCCAGGATTCCTCCTGAAGCTCGGATGGTGTCTCACTGACATCTCGGACTCAGGATCCTCTTCTGCAGATAGGAAATTATCCCTTCAACCAGTGCCCCTAAAACAAGCCAAGAGGGAAACAGTTGTATAGTTTTAATTGTATCTGGGAAGACCTTCACAGGGTGTAATAGGCATCTGCTGTTTACACCTTCCAAGCATCCTTTCCTCCTGCTTTGATAATAAAACTCAGCTTCTCCTTTGGGGTCTTGATGGGTTAAGGTACCCCACCACCCCACTTTGCCAAGCGATAGGAACATGTCTCAACCTAGACCATTGTGATTCTTCTAGAAATTAGAATTTGGAGTGGAGTGACAAAGAGCTGAGATATCTGATTGAAAGACCCCAGACAGGATGGCTCATGGGTTTTTGACTAAGATTTTCATGGTTTTTCTTGTTCCCATAGCCTGGTTGGTCAGCTTTTTCTATGAGTCTATCAACTACCCAACATCCTTCCAATGAATCCCTTTTATTAATTAAATAAACAAATGTCAGTTTCTGCTGACTACTATTAAAGAACCCAAACAGACACACCCACCACTCATCTGTCAGTTTGTCATAGTGTGGTGGCTTGCATGCTGCTGTGATGATGGACGCTATGCCGCTAGTTTTTCAAATGTCAGCAGAGTGACCCTTGGTGGGCAGGTTTCACTGGAGCTTCCAGGCTAACACAGACTACAAAGAAAGGTCTGGTGATCTGATTCCAAAAATTAGCCAATGAAAACCCTATGGATCACAATAGAATACTGTCCAGTACAGTGCTGGAAGATGAGCCCTCTAGGTTAGAAGGCATCAGAATACACAGTGGCCGCAAGAATGCACTCAAGCATACCAATGATGGTGAAGATGGTGCAGGACCAGGCAACGTTTTGTTCTGTTGTACATGGGGTTGCCATGGTTCGGAGCTGACTCCACAGCAACTAACAACAACAGATAACATACAGAAAGGTTATAGGTGAGTAGGCAGACCTCTTTTGAAGTCTTTCACTATAGCCCGATGCAGTGTAATCAAACCAGGGGGAGCTTATCAAAAACACCTGGAGAGTTTCTAAACAACTCACACAAGCATTTTGAAAAAGCTGCTGATATCCATGCTTGTTTAAGAATCCCTCTTCCAACAAACCTGAGCTCTAATCCAGGACATACCCTACGTGACTGGGCGAGCCCTTAAGCTCTCAGCATTTGCAAGACCATAAAGTGAATGAGGTGGGGAGCTGTGAGAAAAAGGGGAGTCCGGGTGATTCGGGAGCTCCCCCTACCTAAAGTGCGGGGCCACTCCTCATCTCAGTCAATTGTGACCCCAAGAGAAAGAAGGCGTGGGCTTTCCAGATCTCCCAGCTTTTCAAGACAAGTCAGAACTCAGTACAATTTGCCATAAATAGAAGGTAATCACAAAAAATACTTACAAGTAGAACAAAATGAGGTTACTAAATTCCATCTGGAAATTTTGCTCGCTGAAGACTGAGTCTGAGATCTATGACTCTTTACTGCAAAGAGAGATTACGAAGAGGTGGTAAAACATACCAGCGTCATACAAGACTATCTCTTTTATATAATCAGTAAGAGCATTGTAAAGGAAATAACTTTAACACTATGGAAAGACCCTACACAAGATGGTTTGTGGGTTTTTGACTAAGATTTTCATGGTTTCTCTTGTTCCCACAGATCTGTGGGCCTAATGTACAACTGTCCACCATCTCAGCCACTCTCTTCATCCCCTGCCTTCATGCCTAACCTGGGCTCCCCACTCATGGTGAGACTTCTCAGCCTGCTCTGACATAGCCAACCTGGAGAACCCTTTTATGTCACCTAGGCTGGAAGCTACCCTGAGTCAGTATTTTCTACATCATCCCTCCTCTCCATCTCCTGATTTTCACTGCTCCCTTCCTCGACCTCTGGTCCCCTCCACACAGCCTACATGGGGTCCGGTATCTTCCAACATCCTTTGCCTAAAAGAGGAGGGAAGCAAAATGCTTGGCCAGGACTGCAGGCCCTAGTGGACACTGTCATCGCCTCATGGAACACATGGGCACTAAGAGAGGAAAAGTGATTTGTCCAAGGCCACACAGTGCATAATCAGCAGGCCCGAGGTTTATTCACTCATTTGTTTATCCAATACATATTGAGTCCCTCTGTTATATATTAGGCACTGTCCTAAGGCTTGGAGATAGAGCAGTGAAAGGACACGCAAAGACCCTGCCCTCCATAAACAAAAAAAGAATGCAAGACACTGTCTGGTGGTGGTAAGTGCTATGGTATAACACTGAGCAGGTGCGGCGATAGAGAGCATCTTGGACTGGGTAGAGAGGGGAGGCCTCTTTGAGGAGGTGGTATTTGAGCACAGATCAGAATAAAGTACACCATGCAGATATCCGGGGGGAAAGTATTCCAGGCAGAAGGAAAAAAGCCCCAAGGAAGGTGGACACCTGGTATATTTGAAAATCAGCAAGGAGACTAGTGTGGCTGGAGCAGAGTGAGAGAAGAGAGGAGACTGGAGATGAAGACAGAGAGGTAGTAAGGCGCTATATCATGTAAACCAGGGCATGGAGCAGTACTGAGGACTTCCACTCTGAAGCTGTTGAGCAGGGGAATGGCATGATCAGGGCTCAAAGGTGAAGTAGAAACAGTCTTCTAGGACCCTGTCCAGTGCTATTGGCAGAAGCGCCTGCTGACCCCTTTTCCATTAGGACCACTAAGCACAGCCACATAGGTTGTGCACTGCCCAACTCCAGTTCACACAGACTACAGTATGAACAGCAGCATTAGAGTTACAAAACGTGGTGGTCCTGTTACCTACCAGGCCTGGAGGCTCAGCTGGGCCTAGCGTCATCATGGTGTGTATGACTGAAGCTGAGGTCTCCTGATTCATGTCCTCCCCAGGGCATGGCCTCATACCCCAAACATCCCAGGTTGATGACAAGGTTGGTCTGGGGATGTGCTTTGATAGTGAACCTGAGGTGGGGGAGAAGTTCATTCTGATCTACAAATCTCCTCACCTACCATCTGTTCCCCAGAGCCTGGGGCTTCAGAAGCCAGAGGAGGAGGATATGCGCCAGTGTCACCTCTACCAATGATGAATCTATGATATGCTGGGCCAGGACTCTGGACCGGGCAGAGAAGCAGCCAGCCCCCATCCCTCTTCCCCTCACGTCCAAGCCTCTGGCTTCCGTCCTGCCATGAATGGGTATGAAAGAGTGTAGGGAGACTCACATTACAAATAGTTACCTTCCATTACTTGTTATTTTGTTATTGTTTTGGTTACACCACCACCGCCCCCCCCCCCCAACACACATACACACTAGAGATGAGTCAGGGTCAAGTAAGACACATATCAGCACAGGATTACATTCATCTTCCCTGGTCTCCAAAACTTCACCTTGGACCCTTGTCACACCCACTCCCTCCACCCCATGTGCCTGCCCTGGCTGATCAGAGTTTTTACTACATTTCAAACTGCAACTCAAAATTTAGCTCATTTTGAATCAACCCAGGACACAGGCAGAGAGACAGCAACTTGAGCAGATGGCTTGTCTGGATCGATTGCTCAGAACATCCAGTAAGGCTTGTTTGGGGAGGATGTTTGTCTCCATATCATTGGGGTTTGGGCCTGAGATTTTTATGAAGTGCTAGCATCTCACAGAAAGCTAATAAAGCTCTTGAGCAAGGAAGTGTCATTTCACAAATCCATTTTTAGAAGGCAAGCAGCTAATAAGACACACCAGCTAATTAGCTGAGCTGTGGAAGGAGCAACATGTAAACATCTTGTGGGAGAGCCAGCAGAGAGAAATTACACAGGAACACACAGCTCACTCCCCAGTCCCTTCTGCAGGGGAACAGAGTAGCTCAAGGTACATTCTATATACAAGTCACCATATCCCCAAGGTAGCTGGAAACGTTTCCACTACCCCTCACCCATGCAGAGCTGTCCTCAGAACTTCCTCCTTAGTACAGCTGGGCACATAACTTGGCTCAATCTGAAGCCCTCTGGCAGAATCTCCTTATACCTGGAGTCTTCAATCCAGTTCTGCTTTAGGTATCTATCACTGTGAAATAACTCCAAGACTCAGTTGCTTAAAACGAAAATTTATTACAATCTCTTATGATTCTGTGATTCAACTGGCTCAGCTAGGTAGCTCGCACTCGGCGTCTCTCATGTGGTTACAGTCAGATGGTGGCTGGAGCTGGAGCCATTTGAAGGCTCAGCTGGGCTGGATGCCCAAGATGATTCACTCACATGACTGGCAATAGATGGCAGCTGTTGGCTGGGAGCTCAGCTAGGGCTACTGATTAGGGCAGTGAGGCAACTATAAGCGTCCTTTCAATGGGTCTTAGGCTTGTCACAGCCTGGAGGCTGGGGTCCAAGAGGGAATCTCCCAAGAGACCCAGGTAGAAGCTACGAGGCTTCTTGTGACCTAGCCCTCTCAGAACATTACTTCTGCTACGTTCTATTAGTTAAGCAAGTCACCAAGTCCAGCCAAGATTCAGTGGAGGGAGATTAGATTCTGTTTTTTGATGTGAGGAATAACAGGCATGTATAGGAAAGGAAGGACTTGATGGTGGCCATTTTTAGAGACTCCGTAGTTCCCCAGAAGCAGACCTAGAGACAGTGATTCATGTATAGGAGATTTATGAAGGAAGTGCTCCCAGGAGAAACAGTGAGAGAATAGGGGAAGCAGGTAAGAGAACAGGAAGAAGCCAAGCAAGGGGGTAATTTCAGGCAAAATCTCAGCCTGAGCCTGAATCCAGAGGAGAGAGGAGCTCTGAAGTATAGAGTATGCTTTAGAGCCTGGACTTGAGGCAAGGGAACAGAAGCTCCATATTTCTACAGCTGGCAGCAATCAGCTAAAGGCCATGGGGAGGAGGGACATTGGGGACACTTCCCACTCTCTACCTGTGAGTAAAGTGGCTCCAGTAGCCCAAGGGCAGTCTTCTGAAAAGAAACACAGCCCTGAGAAGTAAAAGTACACAAATGTTGGAGAAGGGGTGCACAGAAATGTAGAAGGGGCCCAAAGGGATCTGGGCAGAGCACCAACTCGGTCTGCTACAACCGGCTCAGAAGGTTGTGGGGAAGAGTAGGGAAATGAGGATTTGTCATATCCTCACGCATTATCTCATTTCACCCTCACAGCTACTCCAAGAGATGAGTTCTGGATCCCCATTTTACACAGGGAAAACCCATGCTCGGAAGGACTGGGTAACTCACTCAAAGAGCAGGATCTGAGCCCAGAATCATCAGAATCTGAAGTCTGTGCTCCTTTCCTCAAACCACACAGAAGTCACAAAAGACTAGGGAACACCAGCTAAAAGCCGCCTCGCGCCACAAAACCATGCTTGGGATGGCCTTCAGGTACAACAGCCAGGCTTCCCACTAGTATCTCACAAAACCACACCATTTACAGAGTGCTCTGCACTGCTGTGGAAGACAGGGCACACCTCTCTACCATTTAAGTCATCTTATTCTCAGGAGTCCCTGGGTGGTGCAAATGGCCAAGCGCTTGGCTGCTAAACAAAAGGTGGAGATTCAAGTCCCCCCCACAGGCAACTCAGAAGAAAGCCCTAGTGATCTACTTCCGAAAAATCAGCCATTGAAAACCCTATGGAGCACACAGTTCTCATCTGATGCACATGGGGTCGCCATGAGTCAGCATCAACTCAATAGCAACTGGTAACTGGTATTCTCAGGAGATGTGTTCAATGATTTGACCGCCACTTAAATCAGTGCTTCTCGGACTATTTTGGGTTGTCACAACTTGAGGGGGTGGTGTTAAGAAGTATCAGGCTCAAAACATCAATAGTGCTGAGATTGAGAAACCTTGATTAAAGGAATGAGTCTCTGACAAGCCTGAATATCCAAGAAAATGTGTGTGTGTGTGTGCTCGTGTTGCTGGGGTTGGGGGGGGGGGCACTCTGGCTATTGTCACGTGCCTCAAAGTCAAATTAACATTGAAAACTGAATTTCTGATGGTTGACTTTCATCCTGAAGAAGTACAACTGGATCTTTTCCTTCTATTTTATCGGCATGTGCCACTTGGAATCCCTGAGTCATTTTCTATTCTGGAATTCATAACGAACCACTGACTTATGACATTCTTGTGCCAGAGGGTCTTGTGACACTTAGCAACTTTAAAAGTGAGAAAATCCGGAGCAGGATGTGTTCCCATCATGCTCTGCATTCTCCATGTGCCGTTCTGTGGTTTCTTAAATATTGAATCTGTTTAATTCAGGAGGGAGAAGATAGTGATGGGTCTCAGCCTTTGGAAATGTGTTTGCTCACCTACATGTAAACTGTGGCCATAATGTCACATGACTGATCATACTCAACGTACACATCCCAACAAGTGTTTACTTTTAAAGTGTCACCTTGGGAGGCTGTATACTTGTTTTTAACAAATCTTCCATTGCTCAAGTATTTTTGGACTTCATCCTTTGGAATTGCCTTCCAGTTCAGCTTAGAACAACAAAAGAAAAAAAAAAGACTCCTTACTTCAGAGTCATACACCTTATTTATGATCTAAAACAGTATTTCTCATTTTGAAGAACTACTAGAATTTGCTAGACTTATCTCCGAACAAATCTGAGTCATTTCTAAATGTCAAATTTGCTCTCAAAGAACCAAAGTCTGTAAGATATTATCTTCAGAACCCAGCTTTTCAATGGATTTAGGTTACAATTTAGAATAAAATTATGCCCAAGGTAAAAGTAAGACTTAGAAATATTCATTGTTCTTATGTCAATTCGTCTTAAGCCATGTTCACAATAGTATCTAACTTTAGCCATGCTTTGGTTAACCTTAGTATTAAACGGATATTTTCATTTTGGCACAACTTCTGTTCCTATGAATGAGTTGCTAAATGTGGCACACCCTATACTGGGTGATAGGAATATAAAAATACATAAGACAGTCCTTGCCTTGAAGGAACACTGATCTGGTGAGAGACAGACCAGTGAGAAGATGATTACAACCAGGGGCAATATTCAAAATATTTTACAACCAACAGGGTACAGGCTCCAACCAATCAGAACATACTTCATGCTAGAGCAGGGATCTGTTTGGAATTAACCCTTCAGTTGCTGAATTATGTAACCATCTGGAAGGAGAAGCTGAGGGCTGGGAAAGGGGGCACAGGGTAGGGAGATAGGGGCCCTCAGAGGATTGGGGCTGTGGCTATCTACCAACCATACCTGAACAACTGGTGCATATCGGCTGACTACCAGCACTATCCCGTGTGAAGTGCACCCTAGATGTCGGCCCAGAAGAGGGCGTAATTAGCTATGCAGACACCTGAGGGCCTGACCATGTCCCCTCATCCCACCCGTGACGGTCCTGCAATCCTGAACACTGACAGTACCCCACCTCAAGACTACCATCTTTTCACTTTCTGCCCCAGAGTCGTCAGCCCAGAAATGAGGGACACTAACACTTCCTGAGACAACCCTCCACCAATGGGGGAGAGGAGGAGAAATGCTGGAGAAATACTGCAGCCTCCTCTTTTCCAATGGATAGTTTTGGGAGGCCTTCTCAGGAGCCCCAGGAGACTCAAGTCTCTGTCACCACAACAGAGACCTCCATAAAGCACCCCATACCAGCTTTCCTTATCCCTGTCCCATTCTCTCTGCCCCCTCACTTCTGCTTCCAGGGATCACCTCCTGCTGTGGATTGAATTGTGTCCCCCCAAAATATATGCTCAAGTCCTAACCCCTGGTACCTGAGAACGTGACCTTGTTTGGAAATAGGATCTTCAAAGATGTTATCAGCTAAGTTAACATGCAGTCATATCGGAGCAGAGTGAGTCCTAATCCATTCTGAGTGGCGTCTTCTAAAAGAGGAGATGAGATACAGAGAGACAGACTGAGGAAGGATGACCATGTGAAGATTCATCCATAAGCCAAGGAGCACTAGGACCACAGAAGCAGGGAAGGACAAGAAAGGATCTAGAGACTTCAGAGGGAGCATGGTCCAGCCAATAAATGTTAATTTGGACTTCTAGTCTCCGGACTGTGAGACAACAAATTTCTGTTTTTATAAACATCTAGTTGGTGGTATTTTGTTACAGTACCACTAGGAAACAAAGACCCTCCCAAGCCCTCTTCTCAGGCTCTGCTGCCAGAGAAACCCAAACCAGGACAGCAGGAGTCAGTGAAGGCATCACCAGGAAGACAAGGCTCAACCTGCATCATTACTTAGGGGTTGATTAGGGCACAGAGATCCCAGAAACCATAATAATCTTGGAGCAATTGACCTGGTCATCAATTAAAGTCACTTTTGAAACACAAGGCCCAGCTCCTTCCAAAGGCCTTACCCATTTGGACTAGTGTTGGCTTTCCGTAAACATATGTCAGCCTCCACATAGATGGGGGCAGTGCCCAAGGAAAGGAGAATTAGACAGGCAAGTAGAGTTTTAAAATTTTATCTACAAGACTGTTTCCGACAACTTTTTACATTTCTTAAACTCTTTTTTTTCTCTAATCATATTTTCTTATTTAATCTTTTTCTTTTGTTGTTGCCCTTATCTTCCATCTTTTCAGTTATCCTTTTGCCCCCTATTTCTGACATTTCTGCTTGCTCATCCCTCTTAGGACCAATTTTTACCTCCAGTCAGTTCTGAAGCCCTGTCAATTCTCCTACACTAATGTCTTCCTTCTCTTCTTCCCCCGCTGCCATTTCTTCAGCTCAGGTCTTTATCACCTCAATTATTGCGGATAACCTCCTGTGTCTCACTACCATAACCCATCCATGGCCATTCTTCCTCTGTGTCTCTTCTCTTTTATAGGACACTCCTCAGACTGGATTAGGACCCGCCCTACTCCAGTATGACCTCACATTAACTTAATCGATAACATCTTCAAAGACTCTATTTCCCAGCTTAGTGTATTTTCTTCCAGACATAATGGTGGGATTTGAATAGCACCTGTATATGAATTCAAAAATGCCCAATCCTACCCTCCTCCCCATGAGTTTGTGAAAGATTCTGCACAAAAGGGCAAGTGGGAAGCAAGGTACCACTTTGTTATTTGCAGACTTGAAAGACCAGTGCAGAACTCTCTGGCAAACAGGGCTAGAGAGCATGCCTGAGGGCCAAGGATGAGGAAGCTGTCTCTCCCCATCAGCTCAAGACAAAACTTTCAACCAGCCTGGCACTCAAGACTGAAAACATAAGAGAACCCAAATGCACATGACTGAGAAATAGAAGAACTGGTGCACTCACTCTTCCAGCTACCTGGAAACACAAGAAAGAAGGAAGCAAAGCATTGAGGGAGAAACAAGGTGAGGTGGCCTCCTCCCAAATAGATGTTGGGGAGTATAATGATGAGGAGGGAAATGAACATAAAATACAGCTGTGTGCTCAGGTTAAAAAGGTATTTGAGGCTGGATGAACCTCTGAAACTATTGCCCTGAGATAATCATTAAACTTTAAACCAAAAATATCCCCTAAAGTCTTCTTTAAACCAATCAATAGTTTAGTTTAATTAGTAACGAATGTCTTCCTTGAGCACTGTGTTCTTTTAAGAGCTATCTAAATGAGATCAAATTGACAACAGCAACTTGAAAGATTAGATAGGAAACTTAGGGGGTGGTGAGTTTATGTTAATGGGAAGGAACAACTTGGAAAAGGAGGGCGAGAATGGTTGCCAACTTGAAGAAAGTAATCGATGTCACTGAATCATAGATGTAGAAATTGTTGCATTGGTGTATGTTCTGCTGTGTATATTCTCAACAACAACAACGAATCAATTTTAAAAAATCTTTGAGAAATGAGTACATGAAAAAAAAAAACCTTACAAGGACAGTGAAAAAACAGGTACTTCAGTTTAACATCAGTGGCATCTCTAAGGAATAATGGAAGGTGGAGTCCAATCCATGCACAGTTTTGTTGTTTGTGCATACCTTAAAAAAATCAACTCTCATCAGGATTGTCACCAAGAAAAGACTGCATAGGCACTAAACTAGTTACCCTAAGAGGTCAAACTCTTCCCTGTGTTATAATGACATGGTAATGCCAGAACGGGAGTGACAGGTATAGTCTGAACATGGAAGTGGACTGTCCAGGGCCAGGGTTAGCACAGACGGCCTCAAAGATGATACTTCGTGGAGTCTAAAGAGGGAGCAAAGGAACTAGAGTCTGCTAATTCATACTGCTTCACCCCCACCCACCAACCCATCAGTATCACTGTGAGAGCTGAATTTTAGCCTGGACAACTGTGCGGTGAGCATCCTTAGCTCAGCTTCTGAGTTGAACTGGGACTGAAGTGATAATGACAGCCTGGTGATTCAACCAAACACCTCCCACTGTTCCTTGTGGCCACTGAGAAGGAGTGAGGCCAGCTGAAGTCAAAATTAGAGAAGAGGGTGTCAACATAGGAAAGGACTCTGCGTTGGTTTACCACTTCCTCATCATAGAATGAATGAGTGTGACTATCCCACAAGAAAATATAGCCCGATCAGCACTCTGAAGCCTGACCAATTAGACTAGTGTTTCCTCCTCTGGAAAGAAATGCAAATGGTGAGAGACTATACCGTAAGTATACTTCTCCTCTAGAAGCCTACATTCCCACGCTTTTTGCTTTTGTTAATCATCAGGTTCAGTTTAAAAAAAAAAAAAGAACCAAACCCATTGCCGTTGAGTCAATTCCAACTCATAATGACCCTATAGGACAAAGTAGAACTGCCCTATAGGGTTTCCAAGGAGCAGGTGGTAGATTCAAACTGCTGATCTTTTGGTTAGCAGTCACAGCTCTTAACCACTCTGCCACCAGGGCTCCAGGAGCCAGGCCTATTGTCAGTCAAGGCTAAACTGTCTGCCTCAAGAGAGAAAATCCACAGGAGTATCAGGGACGCCTCTTCTTCCAGCCTTGTGGTCTCCCTTCTCATACTTTCACCATAAAAGCAATGCCTCTTTTGTATTGCCCCCAGAAATCTCTAAAATGGCTCAAGAAAGGTCACTCATTTAACTCCAAAGCCCACTACCTGAGAATTTGCCTCCATTCTGTGTCCCAGGCACATCATCCAACCTAGCTATGCAAGGGGCTCAGTCCAAATCCAGAAAGACAAAAATGAAATTAAGACTCCCTCCCCCCATGCTAAAGTTTCCACACAAAAATTAAAATCCCTAGGGATTATAAAAGTTCCAACAATGCAATCAGCCCTCCATTGTTGCCTCAGAGAAAGTAACGTCCTAAAATCAAATCTCTCCCATTTTGCCACTTAAATGAATTAAGGTTGCAAAATATGCTTTCCAGATTTCTTCGTTCTGAACAGAGGAATCACTCCTAGGAACTTGGTTTCTTCTTCACTAGCTATGACATTCTGACTTCTTGCTGGGACTGGTGTAGCTCTTCCAGCGTCTTCCAGGTAAGACTTATCCAATGCTAAGTCTCCCATGGGCCTCATTTTCTAACGTTCCAAATTAACAGGCCACAAGAATCTCTCAGTCCCAGTCTCACACCATGAACATCCCCAGTTATCCCAAAAGCTTATCATGTAAACACTATTTTTTTTATCCCCAGGAGAGAAGGAGAAGCATATTACTCCTCCCATTCACAACCTGCAGTGGCTCAACCTTTGATTGCTTACAGCATAAAGTTTTATTACATCTTTCTCCTAACATGCTAAACAAAACTTAATCCTCTACCTGTTTATGCTGTTCTTCTCACCTTCCACATCCTCTATCCTTTCTGCCTCCTCTCTAGCCTCAACTCATTAATCAAAGTTCAGTTCATGTTCCACCTTTTCCACGAGGCTTCCCCAGCCATCCACACACAGTGGTATCTCTCCCCTCCACCCATCCCTGAACTCAGGTACCATGGCTTGTGCTACCCACATGCACTGACCAGACACACGCTTGTTTCCGAGCTCTCTGACGGCAAAGACCAAAACTGTGTCCTGCATGGCCTTAGCAGGTGCCCTGTGCACAAACGAGCAGAAGTTAGTTTGGGGAGTCAGAAAGTCTCACTCTACAAGAATTTGACCTCGTATCAGTCCGGCTTTGGTTGCAGAGAACAGAATCCATTCCAGCCGGGTTAAGCAAGAACAAATTATTACAGTATATCCATTGCTTACAGGATCACGAGAAGCATTCAACAAACAGGTTGAGCTTTCTGAAATGACTCCCAAAGCCACGTGAGGAACTGGGCCACCAAAAGAGCTGCTGCCTCTCCTACAGTCAGGGAGCCACTGGCAGCAGAACGACATCATCGGTACCACAATTAGGACACCACCACACCATCAACACCATGCCCCACTTTCACTCTGCCTCTCAACATCCTCAAAGATACTGTGGTTGGACCCTGACACCAATACAAATGGCTCCACAAGCTTGCCTGGCCCACACTCATGTGAGTCCACCTGACAGGCTGATACTAAATCCCATCCAACTCAACATGCAAAGGTGTCTGGGAAATGTAGTTCCTGGCTTTCTGGCCTCTGCAAGAAGGGAAGTTATACAAGAAGAGTGGAACGGCCGTTGAGAGCCAGCCCTTCGTATCTACTACACACCTGTAGATGTGTTAACCTTGCCTCTGACCTGCATCTCAAATTCACACATATTTGAATTATCTGCAAACCAAGAACACACTGCCATCGAGTCGATTCCGACTCATAGTGACCGTATAGGGCAGAGCAGAACTGCACCATAGGGTTTCCAAGGAGCGGCCGGTGAATTTGAACGGTCGGCCTTTTTGTTTAGCAGCCGTAGCACGCCCTAGCTCTTAACCATTGCGCCACCAGGGCTTCAAAATTATCTGCAGTGCCTGATATTTTAGAATCAATTTTGGTGGTGACCATTCATCCCAACTTCTCTCAAACAATTAATAATCTATA